AAAAAAAAAAAAAAAAAAAAAAAAAAAAAAGAATCATGTTCATGTTTTTAATTAAAAAGCGATAATATAGGGCCGAGCCCATGGCACACTCGGGAGAGTGCGGCGCTGGGAGCGCAGCAACGCTCCCGCCGCGGGTTCAGATCCTATATAGGGATGACCGGTGTGCTCACAGGTGCGGCAGGTCTCAAAAAGGACTAAATAAATAAATAAATAAAATGTTTCAAACTTTCCCCGGTCTTAAAAAAAAAAAAAACGTGATAATATATGCAATTTTGCAGTATACTTTTTAACAATCACACATGTATATTTTCCATGTCAGTAAAATAAAATGTTCCTCATACTTTGAAATAGCTTTATAGTTTCTTATTGTATTGATATACCATAATTTAACTCTTTCTCTATTAATAGACATTTAAGTTGTTTCTGCCCCCCCCCCTTTTTTTGCTACTACCCAATATGTTTCACTGAATATCCTCTTATGTGAATTTATTAATAGTATAAATTCTGGACATTTGGCTAACCCAAAGGATGTGCACATTTAATATTGTTAACTTGTCCTCCCGAAAGATTGTTTCAGTTTACAACCCCAGAGTATGTCTGGCTCTAATTTTTTTTTTTTTTCCTGGTGCCTTAGAATTTCCACACTGATTAGTCAACAGTGGAAAATTTGAAGAGATGCAAGCAGGAAAAAGAAATTAAACCAGGTGGGTAGTCATGCTGTTCATACCCCTCTACCATAGCATCACAAACTTTTGCCTAATTACCTTTATTTCTGTTTGAAGAAAGAAAATACATAAGTTCCAGATGCAATTAGAGAGGAATTTTGGTCCCACGAAGAAAAGGAAGGATGGCTCTTTTCAGAAGTTATGTAACATCATGCTGCAATTTCAGTCATGTTTCCATTTATGCACAGTTTCTTTATAGCACAAGAAAGACAATTTGCCTCTGGTGGCTTAAGAGAGAATGGGTTTCTTCAGCCATATACTTAAGCAGATAGAATCATACACAGGAGCTATTAGTAACTTTGGGTATGATGCCAACATTTCTCTGCACCAAATGGTTGTTGTAAAACTATTTTCACAAAGACCAGCAGGGCACATTATGGGAATTTTCATTTTAATGCTGTGATAGAGGAGCAAAAGCAAGCAAAAAACAGCCCAAAGAGTTGGTCATGGCCTAGTAGTCTAGTGAGGAGGGGTAATGGAGGTCTCTTCCAGTTGGAAACAAATTGCCATTCACTGGGCATGAGTGGCCTACCTAGAAATATGGCCACCTTGGGTCAGCATTCATAGTTTTATGATATCTAAATGTTTCTGGCATAAGTTAATAATTTAAAATCCAAGGTAACATGATAATTGGCTTTTCTTCTAAAACACTACTGTTTATCTGCAAATTTGGTAAATTTCTTTGCATTGTCAAGTTGGGAGTACAGGGTTCATGGAAACGATCTTGCCTACTTAGGCATTCCTGAATGTAATTGTTAAGGATATCAGAATTGAAGGCCATATGTCAAGTTGGCTTACACCCACCTGGGTCTTTTCCATAGGTAGAATTTTCATAAGGGTGCTAAAGAGCCTAGAGACATAATCTTCTCTCTGAAGAGCTTGCTGAATCTATTGTGCTTCTGTCTATAAACTAGGGACTACATGAACAATGGAAGCTGCATGAGGAGGGAGAAAGTCTAGTTATTTTCTCTGTCTCCAGCACCACATGGGGAACAGTGCAGTTGTGTCTGGTGCAGCTCAGTCTAGACTACTGCCTCTGCCAGGAAAAGTTCTTTTCATTTGTATATTTATTCAGCGAGTATTTATGGAGTATGTCCTATGAACTGGACACTGAATACCAGAGCAGAGTGGCAGGCATAGTCCTTGCCCTCAGGAAGCTTGTGGATCTGGTTGTCAATAGACAAGTAACAGTTGTCTGCAATAAGTGCAGAGGGCTGGTGGGTCGAGGCTACTGAGGTTTGAAAGGTGTGCAGGAGATGACCTGGAGAAAAGTGAGCAAGAGGAGGCTATGGGCTTAGGGAGCTGCCTGGAGGCTGGAGAGGGCGCGGTGCTCCTGAGGACCTGAAAGGATTTCTGGGGCTGCACACAATGGGGAGGAGGAGCTGTGGCTGGAATTGAGTCTGGAGGTGGCCATGAAAGAGTCTGGGCTTTATCCACATGTTCTGAGTGGAAATCACTGGAGGGTTTTTAAGCAGGGGAGAAGTATGAGTCAGGCTTAAGAAGGAGACCTTCTAACTCCATTTTGGAGAATGGACCACATGGAATTTGTGTTCTCCCTGGTCTACTCTCATCACCTCTCTTCTCAGTGCTTGTGCTGCTCCTCTCCTTGGACCTTCAAGAGGACAGAGCCTGGAGCCTGAGAGCAGCTAGTCTCTTTGGAGAGGAAAGAAGAGGTGGTGGTGGGTGGGTAGAGACATCCAGTGTAAAGCAAAGAGCACAAGTGACCTTAAACAAGTCACTTTACACCTGTGAGCATCAGCATTCTTATCTCACCATGGAAATTTTACGTGCCCAGTTGGGGCTTCCAGAGAAATCTCTCTGCTTTGTTTGCCATGTAATGATTTGTTGAAATCCTCAAGAGGATACTGGGACTCCTGTAGCAGCAGCTTCTCCCCTGTGATAAGGGCGAGAAGGAAGCCTTATCCTTGGGGTCAGTCTTACAGATCTCTCGCCCTACAGCCCATAATAGTCAGCCTACAGAGGGGAGGAACCAATCACTGACTGGAAGCCAGGTATGTGTTTGGGCACATGCACAGACAAAAGAATACCTGGGCAAAGCTTCTGCAGCTACTGTTTTTTTAAACCATGTGCCAAGCATTACAGTAAACACCTACATTCTTCTTAACCTCATTTAGTTTAATGTTATGAAGTAGTACATATGTATTATCCTCATTTTATAGATGAGAAAACTGATGCTCAAAGAGATGAAACTACTTACCCAATTAGGAAGAAGTTTAAGAGCCGGAGTCTAGAGCCCACGCTCTGACCACTGTGCATAGAGCTTGCCATTCTGCTGGTGCTTCTTTTGCAGACCTTTCAGACAGTGCCAAGGCAACAGAAACATCAAGGGACAGCTCCTCTATTTTCTTAATATACCTCGAAAATTCTGTTCATAGCTCTCAGACAACTAAAACATGATCTGGAACTTAATCCTGGAATGAGTATGTCTATTCAGTATTTCCCCTTAGTCAGTCCTTTTCTCTAAGTGCATTAAACAGGGCAGCTACCTTCCCACCATGTGGGCAAACTGCTTGGCAGCAAGGAGTGTGCCTGCTCTTCTCCCAAGTTATTTTCCTTCTTACCTCAGCAAGGAAGGCAGGCCACACATGCAGGGGAAGCACTTCCTTTCACAAGAGGCTGCCACCTGCTCTGATCTGGCACAGATGCTGAAGGTGCTCCCCATCTCCTGGTTATGAGGAAAACTCCTTCGAGAGGATCCAGTGAAGCAAGTGGAGAGAGTAGAAGGTGAGAATCCTGCCTGGCCTAACAACATCTCTAAGGCTCAGGTCTGAGCTGTGCCCATGCCAGGCCATTTAAAGAATCTGTCCAGTAGAGTCAATATTGTCAAAATGTCCATACTACCCAAAGTGATCTACAGTTTTAATGCAATCCCTATCAAAATTCCAATGGCATATTTTACAGAAATAGAAAAAACAATCTTAAAATTCGTATGGAACCATAAGACTCTAAATAACTAAAGCAGTCTTGAGCAAGAAGAGCAAAAAGATGGAGGAGGCATCATACCACCTGGTTTCAAATTATATTGTAAAGCTATATTAATAAAATCAGTATGGTGCTGGCATAAAAACAGACATATAGATCAATGGGACACAGTAGAAAGCCCAGAAATAAACCCGTGCATGTACGCTTAACTATATTTGACAAGGGTGCCAAGAATACACAATGGGAAAAAGATAGTCTCTTCAATAAATAGGAAAACTGGATATCCACATGCAAAATAAATGAAATTGGATATATATCTTACTCCATACACAAAAATCAACTGAAAATGAATTAAAGATTTAAATGTAAGACCTGGAACTGTAAAACTCGAAAACATACAGGAAAAGCTCCATGACATTGATCTTGGCACTGACTTTTTGGATATGACACCAAAAGCACAGGCAGTAAAAGCAAAATAAAACAAGTGAGACTACATCAAACTAAAAAGTTTCTCCACAGCAGAGAAATAATGAGCAAAATGAAAAGGCAGCCCAAACAATGGGAGAAAATGTTTGCCAGCCATATATTCAAGAAGGACTTAATACCTAAAATATATAGAAACTCATACAATTTATTAGCAAAAAAAAAAAAAAAAGCAGGTAACCTGATTAAAAAATGGCAAAGACTATGAACAGATATTTTTCCAAGAAAGTCATACAAATGGCCAACAGGTTTATGAAAAAGTGTTCAACATCACTAGTCATCAGAGAAATTCAAATGAAAACCACAGTGAGATAACCCCTTACACCTATTAAAATAGCTATTATAAAAAAGTCAAAAAATATGTATTGGCAAGAATGTAGAGAATGGGAACCTTATACATTGTTGGTGGGAACGTAAATTGGTATAGCCATTATGTAAAACAGTATGGAGGTTCCTCAAAAATTACAAATAGAACTACCGTGTGATCCAGCAATCCCACTTCTGAGTATATATTCAAAGGAAATAAAATCACTATCCTGAAGAGATATCTGCACTCCCATGTTCATTGCAGCATTATTCACAATAGTGAAGATATGGAAACAACAACCTTTTCGTTAATTGATGAATGAATGTATAAGGAAAATGTGAGAGAGAGATATACACACAGGGCTGTGTCCACTCCCATGTTCATTGCAGCATTATTCACAATAGTGAAGATATGGAAACAACAACCTTTTTGTTAATTGATGAATGAATGTATAAGGAAAATGTGAGAGAGAGATATACACACAGGGCTGTGTGTGTATGTGTATGCGAGGGTACTTCCAAAAGTTCATGAAAAGATTCATCTTTTAATTCTATGTTTTCACACACAATGGAATATTATTCAGCCTTAAAAAAGGAAATCCTGCTATTTGCAACAAGACGTATGAATCTGAAAGACATTATGCTGAGTGAAATAAGCAAGGTACAGAAAGACAATAGTGCATGATCTCACATATATGTGGAATCTTAAAAAAGTCAAATTCATAGAAACAAAGAGTAAGAGTGTAGTTACCAGGGATCAAGGAATTGGGGAAATGGGGAGATGTTGGTCACAAGGTACAAACTTGCAATTAATTATAAGATGAATAAATTCTGGAGACCTAACGTATAGCATGGTAAATATAGTTGATAATAATGTATTATATATTTGAAATTTGCTAAGAGAGTTGATCTTCAGTATTTTCACCACACACACAAAAAGGCAACTATGTAAGGTGATGGATAGGTTAATTAGCTTAATTGTGGTAATCATTTCACAGTGTTCACATATATCAAAACATCACGTTGTAGATCTTGAATATATACAATTTTAATTCATCAATAATACCTCAGTAAGTCTGAAAAAAAAAAAAAAAAAAAAAAAAAAAAAAAAAAAAAAAAAAAAAAAAAAAAAAAAAAAAAAAAAAAAAAAAAATCTGCCCAGTTCACTGGAAGCCATCACTCAAACCTTGAGCTGTTGTATCAGCCCAAGTAATATGGTTTTTAACATATAAATGAGTGGTCTTGTG